TTATGCCTTGAAGCAAGTTTTGAAACTGATCTCTTTTATAAAATGCATTTGTTATTGTAAATGAATCAACTAGAATTTAATTTAATTTTTTAATTCTAAGATTTCTCGTACTCTTCAAAAATAAATATTTAAATTATTACATTCACAAATTCTTTTAATCACATCAAACATTACAACATAATTTTTTTTCTCTCGTAGTTATAAATATTATAATAAAATTTAAAAAAAATAATAAATATTGTTTCATAGTAATTATAAGAGTATTGTATATCGCGAAGCATAAAGTTTAAAATTTATGCTTTAACAGCCATTTGCTGTTAAATCTAGCTACAAATCTTTTTCTTGTCTAGCTTTGAAAACAATTACTTTCTTTGCCAAAGCAATTTCTATCGATAATCAATCAATCAATATATTCTGAATTATTTGATTTTACAATTCAAGAATGTTTACAAATAGTATAATTACTAATGATGCGTAAACACCTAATAATAATGATGTTAATAATAAATAATAACAACTCTAAAAATCATAACGTTAACAATTATATTAATATTAATAATAACTATAATACTAAAAATGGTATTATTAACAATAAAAATAATCCTATTAATAAAGATAATGCTATTAATAACAAAATAATGATATTAAAAATAAAGGTAATAACAATAATAAGAATGATAATAATAACAATAGTATATTGAAATGTATCTATACTTATACATGCACTCATACATACATAAATACATACATACATACATACACACACATACATACATTCATACATACATACATACATACATACATACATACATACATACATACATACATACATACATACATACATACATACATACATACATACATACATACATACATACATACATACAAACATACATACATACATACATACATATATGTCCCACATATGCTTATATATATACATATAAACACACATACGTTTATACACATACACACATACAAATATATATACATATACACTTATACTTATGCACATACATACACATACACACATACCTATACACACATGTTAATACACATACATACACATATATACACACATTTATACAAATACGCATGCATATACCCACACATGCATACGCACATACACATTCAATTATTGTATAAGGACGACAAAAAAGCTGTATATAAATGTAAAGATTCTTAAAAAAAAAAGTATTAAATAAAAAATATATACAAGAGAGAGTATTTTTTAATAAGACTATTAACAGTGATATATTGCTTTTATTGATGTTATTATTCTAGTAGCTATCCAAATAGTGTTTATTTAATTTATTGAGAAAAATATATTGAGAAATTGAGTTTTCAGTTTTAAAAGAAAGAGCTATGTTGTTCCAAGCATTGGTGCACTGATGTTTAATTAATTCGCTGCCAAATTTTATTTTACTAGTATGTTCTACAAAGATATTGTTGCATGAAGAGGATCTTAGGAAGTGAGAGTGTTTGTTTCATATTTGAAGGAAAAAGTACTTGAAGGAATTTGGAAGTTTATCATGAAGATAATCCCATACAAATAAACAATTTAAAAAAGTAATATTGTCTTTCAGCCTAAGGATTTTTATTAATTTATACAGCAGAGAAACATTGTCAAATAGGTAATTTGAAAGTGAATAATTTTAAGTGCTTTGTTTTATAGTGAAACTAGTTGGTTTAATGGAGTTTTTTTACCCCAAATCTGACACGCATGCCTAAGGTGCAATCCAAATATGGCATGATAAATCCTCATAAATGTTTCAAAATTTAAATGTCTGAATTTGGCTTTTATTCCAACTCTTCTAACTAATTCTTCTGGTTTATAATATTCATTAGTTAAGCAGTTAATATCTATTTCATTCAAAAAACTATAATCATTTTTGTTATATTTCAAAATTTCAAAAAAAAAAAGGAATATTAATTTTGTTAAATTAGCTTCATTGTGATGTATTTCCATTCCAATCAGGTATCACTCTATAAAAAAACTAGATCCTAATGTCGTTTTTTTTATCTGTTTTTTTTTTTTCAACTTTATTGCAAAAAAAAAAACTAAACAAAAAAGTTAATCTTAATCTGAATTGAATTAAACTGAATTAATCTTAATACAAAGGATAAAGATTAATTACTACTTCATTAGGATTTTTTTTGCCCACAGGAAAGTTATATTACCTATTTGGTTGAAAAATGTTTGCAATGTTGCAAAGGTGTTAAGTTTACTTAATTTAATTTTTTTTCTAAATTGATGCTACTGCTTAGAAAAGCGATGTGAATAGTTTCTTCAAGAAGTAAATTGGTGTATAAATTTGTAATATTGTAAAATACTAAAAAAATTAAAATTAATGCTTCAAAAGAGTAAAAGTTTTTTCATTAAAATTTAATTTTGTTTTAATTATTAAAATAATGTTATATACTGTATAAAATTATTTTATTACCCAACTAAAATATACTAGTCAAAACATGTATTATACTTCTGAAGTTTGTAGCACATACTCTGCAGGTGGATATTTATACTACTAAAAATATTTTTATTTGATTTTTTTATAAATTTTATAAAAAAGGTTTGTTACATTGACTTTATTTTATATAAGATAAAATTATTTTATACAATATAAAATCTCTGTTGTCTAACCATTTTTCATATGAGTTGAGGAAGTTAGGAGTTTCCAATTTTAAGATAAAATGGCTGTTTATAGTTTCACTAAGTAGAGCATACAGTCTGCAGATTGTATATATGATATATATTAAGTTATATATATTAAGTTTCATTAAGTGGAGCATCACATTCAATCTTAATTGTTAAGCCTAGATTGTCACATAGATGTTTATGTAGGTTATTATATTAAGTTTCTAAGTTTACAAATGATTTTACATTAGAGTTGTTGCTTTTCTATTAACCACAGATAAGTTTTAACATTTGTTTAATAATCATAGACATTTGTTTAAAAATCATCTTAGAAATAAACTTCACCTTTTTTTTTAGGAAATGTCTGACATTAATGCATAAAATAAACGAGCACCATGCTTTACAAATAGCTTGCTAGCACTGATCCAAGGTGACATTTAAAATCAAAGTGAACAAGTGTCTTTTTATTATTGCAAGAAATCAATGCTAACTGACGCTAAGCCCTATTATTCTCAGTTTTTATCTTTTATTTTAGTTTTCTTAAATTTTTTTCATTTTGACCTCAATAACTATTGTCGATCAGTTTTTTATTATTTGCAATCTTTAATTTACAAACTTTTTAATACCTCATCTTGAGGTATTAGAAGTTTGTTTAACAATTTTTTAAAAATATTTGTTAAACAATCTATTTTCTGACAATACAGATTTCAATCTTCGAAACTTTCAAGTTCTATAATATACTTGTTTATATGTTACTTGTTAACTGTTGTTAATTGCTCCAAAAGAAAAGTTCTGTTAGATAGGAAGCAGCAGGACAAGGACTCTTGCTATCAACATATCAAATGCTTTCAATAAAGTCTATGCTAGTCTTCTCCATAACTTCACTTCTTATAAAATTCTAAGTTTAGAAGATTATTTTTGTAAGCTCTTTTCAAAAAAAAAAAGAACTTCCAAAGACTGCTGAATAAAAAATTAGGATAAAACCTTGTGAAAAAGCTAGTAGAATTATAGCGGCACATGCACTAACATCTAAATATATAGGTCTTGTTTTTGAAAGCAATTTATTACGTGAGGAACATGATTCCAATTTTTGGTTGCAATAATTTTGAGTCTTTTAAAAAAAAATCATTTCTTATTTTTATTTATCATTTTTTATTATTATCTTTTATAGTGTCCCAAAGACTGTATCCCATGGGTGGATACAAATGGAACAATTGCTTCTTTTCATGACACAAGTTTTAATGGTTATAACAAAAAAATTAATACTCCACACACAATATCTTTACCTGAAACTAAATAGGTATTTGCAGGTAGCATAAGGTATGCTTTAGATATCATTTTCTAACTGGAGTACTCAAATTACTCTAAAAGGCCAACACTTGTCTTCATTTCCAGCAACTTCTAAAATATCTCAAAGTTTCATCCTCAGTCTATAATTGTTTCTCATTTATATCAGGCATATTCCTGACAATTTTACTTCTAAATGGGCTCTATTTGCTGGCGATGCAACAAATAGATAAAAGCCTTGATAAATGTTATCACTTTTTGATTGCTTAGAACAGTCAGCCACTTTTTGATTGCTTAGAACAGTCAGCCATCTCTTTTCTGTTACAGGTTGAGACTTGAAAGACTTAATTTGGGAATTTCAACCCAACTAAACTTTATTTATTCTTAATGAGAGATCATTAGTAAATAATCATCCCTATCTTCTCAGATCATCATTTAGTATTTATTTTCCATGGAAACCATATACAATTGAATGCTAAGTTACCATCTGCTAAAGTTGCCTCTCCTTATTGTGCATTTCCATACTAATTGGGCTGCTTCTTCTTATAATCTTTCTTTTATTTTTAAACAAGTCTAAGATTGTATTGTAAGTGTAGTTGGACATGCTATAGCTGACAAGCTTAAGCCTCTGTTTTATCGTCATAAGACTGCCTCTCTTTCTCTTTTCTACAAATACTTGCTGTTCAAGCCAACTATAATCTCTTATTCATCAACCAAAACTCTTGCATGGCTCATCATTAGCAATTTTTATAATAACAATTTTATTAGTTGTTTTATTATTACTCAAGTTTTATTTTTTGACCAAATAACAAAAATTAATTTTAATAAACAATAAAATATTTTATTTTAATATATTTTTTTTTATGTTTGTATACATAAATACATATTTCTTTATTTACAATATTGTTCTAAATAAAAGAAGAAAAAAAGAATAAGCATTCAAGATAAAAATAATTTTTTTTTCGTTATTTAACTTAAATGCCAAATCAAAAATATTGCACTCATGTTTTGAATATATAACTTAAATGCCAAATCAAAAATATTGCACTCATGTTTTGAATATTGCACTCATGTTTTGAACATGTATAATATAATCTTATTAAAATGTAGATTAATAATATTCAATGCATATTACACCAAATAGTTGTTTATTTTATCTAAAATAAATTGGATGGTTTTTGTGATAATGGCACCAGCACAATCAATGGCTGTTCAAGACAAAGTTGCAGAGTTTGCTCATGCAATGAAAGAGCGATTTTCGCATAACTACCTTAAATTTTCTTCTGTCAACTTAATGTCTTTGATATCTTGGGCGGCCTCTGGTGCAATGATGTTTGGCGGAGTGGTACCATATATTCCACAATATTATGACATTTACACTACATCAAATACTGATGGTTTCTCAACATATGTTTGCTTTGCATTACTTGCTGCAAATATTTTAAGAATTTTATATTGGTATAATTATTTTCAAAAAAATTATTTTTAGTTTTTAAGCCATGTGGGTAAAAAATATATTGAAAACTTTAAAATGTTGTTTTTTTTCCAGGTTCGGACATCCTTTTGAGCTACCTTTATTTCTGCAAAGTGTTATTATGATTATTGCAATGCTTGTTATGTTAGAACTTTGTGTACGTATTAAGCGAGGCAATGAGTTTACTGCAAAAAGAAGGAAATTTTCAGGTATATTATTGTTTTTTTATTTCATAATATTACTGCCATTATTAATTTGTTATGATTTATGTATGGTGTGCCTTAGCAGGAGTTTTAGTTCAAAAAATAAAAAAGATCCATTAAATTTTAAGAAAAAGTTCTCTACAATTAAAAAAGTTTTTTTCATTATATACTATTTGGAATGGTCTGGTATACAGAATGTATATAAAAAGCCTCTACATAATGTAGTCGCTAGTTCACACACTGAGGTTTGACTCTTTAGAGTTTCTTTTAAATATTAATTATTTTTAATACTCTTTAGAAAATCTTTTAAATATTCTCCTTTTTTTTTCTTGCAAAGAAAATATTTTAAATGATTAATTAAAAAATAAAATGATGACAGTCTTTTCATATAAATGCATTCTACAAATTTTAGTTTTATTATTTATTTATGCTTAAAAACTTAATTGAAAAATTGAGGAGCAATAATATTATTCTATTCCCCTAATCTTAGTGCTAATCTTAGTGCTAATCTTAGTGCTAATCTTAGTGCTAGGAGTCGCCAGTTTTGCCTAAAATTTTTAAAATTTCTTGACTTTAAATATGATTTCACAAAGTTCATTAAAAGCATAAGTTTTGGTTTTAAATTTTATATTTTTTGTTATGTTTTTATTGCTCCTAAAATTTAAAACCTTAAAACATTAAATACATACATTATGTGCATGCAAGTTTGCAACATGTGTGCTTAAAATAATAAGATAAGATAAGAGTGCATACAAGAATCCAACGTGTTGGATTCTTGTATGCACTCACAAGGACAGGGTTGGTTGATGATGATCATCAAGACCAAGTTTATTAAAAGGTAAAGAAACACACACAATAGAGCTATAAATTGTGCTATTTTGATTCAATTGCTTTAAATATAGTATTTAAAAGCAAATTTGTGGCTGCACAAACAATTTACCTTTTTCAGCTTTTCTCTATCGCATATAAGCAGCAAGAGTTCAGACAGTTAAGTCATTTATTAAGATATCTTAAGAACCACTTAACATAAAAACTATAAAAGTTGCTACATATCAAGTTCGGGTACATATTGTTCTAATAAAATCAAAGTTTAGGGTGTAGCTTGTCTGTATGTAATTACTTGCTAATTTAAAATGACATTTTTCTTATCAAGAATTAAAGTTTTTTGCTAATTTTAGTAAATTTGCCTTGAAATTACAAAAGAAAGGAAAACTATGTTACACTCGAGCAGACCTAGAAACAACTAAAAATAAAGTGAAAAACCATGTATTTACCATAAGGAAGGCTGCTAAAACTTATAACATTCCATAAGGAATACTCTATAAAAAAGTAAAACTTTGGGGATCAAGTTCCAAAAAAAACATTGGACAAACCAGACTTGATAGATCAACAGAAATTTTATTTGTTCAAACAATTGCTTATATGACTGATTGGAGAACAAAACTGAGGTGATAAAATGTCTTCCAGGAAAAAATAAAGTGAAAAAAAATTAATAAAATGAAACCTGGTGGTAAAGAAATTACAATGGTTCTTAAAAATCCATTTTAGATATTCTTAAGAACAATCTAAGCTTATTAATAAACAACCTGGTGGTTATATGACCGATAGAAGAAATAAAACTGAGGTAATAAAATGTCTTCTAGGAAAAAATAAACAACCTAGTGGTAAAGACACTGCAATGGTTCTTTACAAATCTGTTTTAGATATTCTTAAGAATAATCTAAGCTTAGGCACAAATCCACTTGCAAAACAATACTATCCATTATCTAAAAAATAAAAACATTATGCTGTGTTCAATGTCACCCCAAATCGGCTAATCATTCTCATCCCATTAAAATAAGACTTAATGTGGTAGTAGACTAGTGACTAGTAGACTAGTGGTAAAACATTTGGCTCACAATCAAGAGATTAAGATTCAAATCTACTCTGTGCTTTCTAAAATTACTGTGCTCAATCTGTTTCTCTGCACAGCACCCTTGTTTCAAAAAGGTAATGTTTCTAAGTTTAGGATTGAGAGAAAACATCTTAAAAAATAAGTAGCTCCCATGACTCTAGTGGACTCACTGGAGCAATAGGGAGGTAAATATATGAAATTAAAAAAAATTACAGTACACATACAAAAATAAAAATTTTGAATTTTGATCATTTTTAAAAAAAGCCCTCAAAAACCCATAAAACGCCAAAAAAATCATTTGGGTGGGGTTTTTTTTAAAATTAAAGCATTAAAGTGATATCTAATTTGACATTTGTAGAAAAGTTTTGACTCATTCTAGTTTATAGAAACTGAAAAAATAAACAGATTTACAAAATCTTTGTTAGGGTTAACTGAAACGCAGGAAAACTACATTAATTGTAAAATAAAGTATACACTTTTCGTTCACAATGTGATTATGTTAACTATAGATTACTGTCTATTGTAAACATAAGTTCTTACTTAAAGTAATAACTTGCTGTAAAGTAAAAGTAGTAATCTGAAGCACTATTTGCAAGCCTTTCCAAGAAATGCAATGTTTTTCATCTTGTATGTCTATGACATACAAGATGAAACTTGCAGGAGTATTTTATTTTAGGCAACTTTGTCACAGCGGTTTGAGAAGTTTTTTTAATATTAGGCAATGCAGAAAAAACTAAGTTTCAAAAACAAAGAAACTAACAAAATAGGAAATTTAAATGAAAAAAAAACTACATGGCTTAATTGATGCTTAAAAATGATGTGCACCTTACTTAGAAAATATACTGAAAGGCTTTAATGGTATAATTAATCTGAATGTGAAGAGGTTCAAAAACATACAAATAAAGATTTTTTATATACAAAAAAATAAAAAAATAAATGGTTACAAAGCAAATATATGAAAATGTATTTAAATAAAAAACACTTAAAATAACAGAGTTCAAATAAATACAATTATATAATAAAAAAATTATATGTAAAAGTATATGCATGCATTACGTAGACGTTTTCATATAGGGACAATATATTTGTTACATTAAAACTCCACAAATATATTTTAGAAACAGATAGCAGTTTATATCTTTGCTTTGCTCTTTATAAAACAAACAAATAAAATATAGGAAAATCATTCTTTTTTATGTTGACTTAAAACTGCTTTTTTTTTTATCTTGCCTTATCCAATTATGTTGATGAAAATAAAAACCACTCTAAAGAAAAAAAAAATAAAAACAGTACACAAATTGTTTAAATTATTATTTATTGGCTTTTTTTCTATATAAATTTATTTTAATTTCCTATTTTTTTGATAGTTGTGCTTTCTTTGTTTTTCTGCAATGCTTTTTTTAAATATAATAGAACTTGCAAACAGCTGTTTGCAACCAAGTTGTTTAAAATAAAATAGACATGCATGAACATACAAGATAAAAAACTGCATGTGTTTCCTGGGAAGGCTTGATTTAATATTGATAAGCCTATCTTGTATAACTAACTATTCATGAACAATATAAATGTAGTCTAATGTTTTTATTATAAGTATAAACTGTTGTTTAGTATAACAGCATTTAAACTTTTACTTGCACATCATTTAACATATAAACATATAATCTTTTAGACACAAGTTTTAAATATCTAATTATTTTATTTGTTTAATTAAAATAGAAATGACATAGTAAACTTTCTTACATTGTTTACATTATACTTATATTGATACTGTCTTACTTTTGTTGATAATTTCTTATATATGTTAATACTACCTTACTTAGATTGATAATACCTTATAACATTGATAATATCTTATGCTGATACTACCTTACTTACATTGATACTACCTTACTAACTTTGATACTACCTTACTTATGTTGATTCAACTGTGTAATATTAAGTCTTAACTAATTGTTGGTATCTCAGTAGGTAAAGCCTAAAAAATCGTTGATGACAGATTTCCTATTGATGAATATAATGGCATTTGTATGCAGAGTTGTTTTTTAGGTATATATATATATATGTATGTATATATATATATATATATATATATATATATATATATATATATATATATATATATATATATATATATATATATATATATATATATATAGGATTAACATAAAAACAAATAAAAAACTACTTGGATAATTCCATAATATGGAGTAGCGAATTTCTAAAAATGAGATAATAATTTATTTGATTTAATTTACAGGAATTGTCTTTTGATTATTTTTGCCTTTGTTTTGTTTAGTTTTAAGATTTTGGCTAATTTTTTCATATTTGATCTTGTTGACCGATTTTTCATTATATCTTTCGCTTCAAGCCAAGTTTATCCATTTTTTTGAATAAATTATAAGAAAATATATATATATATATATATATATATATATATATATATATATATATATATATACTACATATTTTTCTGAACCATAAATTAAATAAGCAATGACCGTTGTCAATTGAAAAAAATTCAAGTGATTTTTGACATACATGAGTTTTAGAATTATTTAAGAAAGTTATTATTTTGTTTTTATTATTATGTTTATTATTTTATTATTGTTTATCATTATTGTTTCATTATTTTTTTTGTTGCTATTATTATTAATATTATTATTATTACTAATATTATTATTTTTACTTTTATTTTGTATTGTTATTATTATTTATAATAATTCAGGTTGAGCTTATATCAGGTGAGGATACCTGTTATCAGTTAGTGTAGAACATGAAATCCAATACACTTTGTTTCATGCTTTTTAAGGTCTGCATTTTTATTATCAATAATTATTTTTTTTATTTTTGATTAAAATTGAAAGAATAAGCATGTTTTTGTGTATTCATTCATTCATTATATATACATTCATTCATTCATTATATATTGAAATTAGATAAATATTTTAAATACTATAATTTATTTTTATGAAATATTTTTTTTTCTTTTTTTATGAAATATTTTTATGTTATTTACATTACTATTTATATTTTTTTATCCAGATTTCGATTGGGCATATTTTTGGAACTGGACACACTTTGCTGATTATATGCAATTTCTAATGGTGTTTAGTTTGCTTGGCTCTATTTTGACATTTACGTTAAGTAATATACCAGTTTATATGGAAACTCTAGGATTTATATCAGTCTTCACTGAAGCAATGTTAGGCTTACCACAGTTTTATAGAAATTATAAAAATAGGTCTATTGCTGGCATGAGGTATGTTGTTTTTTCGATTTAAACACATACACAGTTTTTTTTTTTTTATAAAGTAAGTTTTTTTCTTTAATTTATGAAATTTTTTGCAAAATAATTAAAAAAAAAAGTTGATTTGATTTTTTGCATGTTGAATATTTCATTTTTAGTTTCGGCCAGATAAGCAACATCGGTAAGAAAAGAAGCATGAACTTCCTTACCAGTGTTGTGGCTCAAATAGAATATATAAGGTTTATAATAATACTCTTTGCTATGAACCATAAAATATCAGGATCGAAGAGGGATGCTGAACATGCTATCTCTTAAATCAACACTTGGTAAAATTGTTTAAAGTGCTTATTTTATGGGAATTAAGGCGTTAATCTAGTAAAAGCAAAAACACAAGTTACACAAAAACACAAGCTACACAAAAACACAAGCTACACAAAAACACAAGCTACATAAAAACACAAGTTACACAAAAACACAGGCTACACAAAAACACAAGCTACACAAAAACACTAGCTACACAAAAACACTGGCTACACAAAAACACAAGCTACACAAAAACACTGGCTACACAAAAACACTGGCTACACAAAAAACACAAGCTACACAAAAACACAAGCTACACAAAATTAATAATTATCAATATCAATATTTCCCTAAAAGCTTGTAGTTGAGAAAAATTACTCATATTTTGTTTATATTTTTACAACCCTCTGTCAAATGTTTAACTATGAAGTATGAACTAGACTACTGCGCAATAATCTGAGCTCTGCACTACAAGGGGTCAGTTGGTGTTTGAACTCTGTACCTCTTGCTTATGAAGCAAACACTTTTTCACTATATCTCTACTGCATGTTGTGATAGTTAAAAAAGTTTCATTAAGTGTTATTATATTGAGACAACTTAAAACATTATTTTATCGATCTTTTTTTAATTAAAAATGTCTGATAGCAAGGTCTGAGTTTTTAGAAAATTTTCTTTGATGGCCATGAATTAATATTATATTTCCTCGCTATAATAAAAAAAATTTCCTAAAATATTTTCAGTTAAAGCATATATATAGCTATATAACCTTTGAGGGGTTACAGATATTTCTTGATACAACAATATGTGAATTGTTTTTACTGCTAAAAAGTATTTATGGTAAAAAAAAAAAACTTTTTTATGTAAGTGCTCAAACAAATGCAAAACATGTAAAAAAAAAAGAAATTCCATGCATTCTATCATGCTCGGACACCTAAGTGCTTGTTAAATGGAGTAAACTTAAAATTTCAAACAAATATTGGTTTTCTACAATATTGAAAACAGTAAGAGTTGTCAAAAAACCTGGTATTGCTTTTTATTTGAACTGCCCAGCAAGGTGTGTTAGTTAATTCGTTTTTTTAGATTAGTTTATGAGTTTTGTAGCATTTCAATAGTACTAAATCATTTTGGATTATTTTTTTAATTCATAAAAAATATAATAATATAGTAAATAAAGTATAATAATTTACTTGTTAAAACTATAGCATTCAGCATTTAAGTTAAAAACAGTTAATTAATTAAATTTGAATTAAAAACAGTTGAATGTGATGTTAGAAAAGAAACAACAACAGCAACAACAACAACTACAAAAATTTTAATTCGCAATATATGTTAAACTATATATTATGAATTTTATATTTATGAGTTAAGCTTGATATTTTAAACTCTATAAGATAAAGTTACTCAAGTGATTATAATTAAAAATCTATTAGAGATGTTGAAATAGGGGTGAAAGATCTATGGAAATGGGTTAAACTTTGTTAAAATCTAGTTTAAATTTCAAAAATCTGGTTTTAGTTTCTTTTTTTTTTAACAAGTGTTAAACAAATAATTTTCTTCAGACATTATTATTGCATAACTCTTTCTAAATATTATTTATGTTTGAAATAGGGGAGAGTATGCACCCATGATCCTAAAAATCTATCAGGCCAACTTACTGAATATATGTTTTTATTTCAATCTCTAAAATAGCAGTACATAATAGCAAATTTTATACCTTATTATAATTCAATTATCATTTTTTTACCAGAATATTTTAAGTAGATTTAAAATTATAAAAACTAAGAATGCTCAATTAGGATCATGGGTGCATACCAGTATGCTCCCTTGATCCTACCTATATGCACCCTTGATCCTATGTATGTATACTTGATTCGAGATCAAATGTATACCATGATTGTATAAGAATAATTTTTAAGTCATCAAAACAATGTCTATAATAAAAACCAATAAAGTTATTATTAATTTTACTACAAATTTATCTTTCTTAAAAAAGTAAAAATTAATGAAAAAAATGTTATTTTTTACTGAGACTCAAGTTCAAGTTTTCTTTTTCTTGTTATGAAGATCTTATTTTGCATTTCATGTTTTTTCTTTTTTGACTGAGATTTTTTTTTTATTTCCTGAAGCTTATTTAACTCATTTCGAACAGGAGTGTCTGTGAGTATTCGAGTACACTGACATTTACGTCCTTTAATGGATTTCCTTGATCCAGCTTTTGGAAATTGCCTAATTTTTGACTTGCTTGATGAGAGATATTTTTAGAAACACTGGATAGTTGACTTCCAGGGCCAGATATAGGCTGAATAGGCAATACACTACAAGCTGAACCAGATGACAGACTTGACATCAATGATTGATTAAAAGCTGGGGCATGAACTGGATCAACAACACTTGGAAAAGGGTTAGCAGTAATAGGTTCTGGACGGTCTGTTACATATGAAGACAAAAACTCATCAGAAAATATGTTAGGATTAAAGGGTTCAATTCCTGCCACAGCAAATCCTGCAGAAATGTTAGACAAAGTAAAAGCTTGTGCATAGGCTTTCCTTACAACTGAAGCTATATCATATATGGTCATCGGTCTTAGATACAATGCAATCATCACAGGCTGCATTGTAATAACGTTTCAGTGGCCCATAAACTGACCGATCTAATGGCTGCAACTTGTGACTACAATGTGGTGGAAAGGACAGCATAGTTATGCCATTTTTTTTAGCTAAATCTAAACACACAATTGAAACATGGCTCTCGTGGTTGTCAAGAAGTAAAAGCACTGGATTAGCTGGTGAACATTTCACATTTTGAATAAAATGTTTCATCCACTCTAAAAATGTTGCAACATTCATCCAACCAGATGGGTTTGCAACCCTAACACATCCAGGTGGACCACCATTTATCATACTTCCTTTGAAATGAACTCTTGGAAAAATAAAAAATGGAGGGATTGAGTTACCTATTGCATTGACTGCACAACAAACTGTTACCAATGTCCCTCTTTCTGCCTTCCAACTTGTTTATCTCCTTTTTTAGCAATTACTTTAACTGGTTTTTGAACAGTTGTGAGACCTGTCTCATCAACATTATATATGTTTTGTGGCTGAAACTTGTGTCGTAGACGAACATCTTTTAGATTGGTGAAAAGTTCTCCGACTGTATAACATTTAAAAGCAGTTGCTCGTGCCATACTAGTAGCTTCTGGATTTCTTAAAGATAACTCATTCCTACGTAACATAAAACCACGAAGCCACTGTTTCCCAGCAATTTGTAAACTTTTCCACGATTTAGGAATGCGCTTAGGAAGAGTCATTGCAAATTCATAGGCAAGTTTTCGTGTTGTTTTGGTTGATAATCCATAGTGAAGTTTTGAGGCCCTTAAAAGATAATCTGATAAAGATGTTTCTTCTTCGTTGGTAAAGATTTGCATGGTAATGAAGTTAGGTTTGCAGACTGTATATGGATTTAATTGACATTTCCTTACATATCTCTTAAGTGTCATTAAATTGATTCCCCTCTCTTTAGATACACGATAAACTGTACTACCATTAAGAACTGCATTAACAGCTGCTCGCATTTCATTCTCATTAACTTTACCTCTAGGTAGTCTATTGGTTTTTCGTTTTTTATGATACACCATATTTAACTGTAAAAAAATGAAACATATTTATATAGTTTTGCTATATTCCTAATTTTTGGATAAACATTTATAAAGATTTTTACTTACTAAAATCTTCTTTATTAACAAACACACACAGATATATATATATATATATATATATATATATATATATATATATATATATATATATATATATATATATATATATATATATATATATATATATATATATATATATATATATATATATATATATATATATATATATATTGAATACTTTACAATTATATTATATAAAAGTTTTAGGAGAACAAAAAAATACAAAATAGTATAAAATCTTCATTTTAAGGCTTTATTCTAGAAGAAAAAGATATATTTAAAAACAATATGACGTATTGTAGATGTTACTTTAAAAGTTAAACATTTTGTGTGTGTGTATGCACCTTTGATCATAGGATCAAAGGTGCATAAACGTATTAGGATCAAGGGTGCTAACCCGCTCCATTTTTACAAAAATTATTTTTTGGTCATATTAGATGCTTCTATAGCTTACCAAAAGCAACCATACAAGAGGTAAATAGTTAAGTTACAAAATGACATAAGCAAAATTATTCAACTTAAAAAAATATTAAAGATGTGAGGTTCCTTGTTAAAGTAAAAAAAATACTTTTTTTCGTCAAAATCAAACTATTTAGAAATAAATTTAATAGTGGTCTATTCTTTAACCAAAACACAATTAATTTTGAAGATACAATATTTATAACACGCTGGTTATCAGCCCTCTTTAATAAGTTATGTAAGTATGGAGATAACGCAATAGGATCAAAGGTGCTTACGGATCAAGGGTGCAAGTTCTCCCCTACAAACAATTCCATTGGTGTGCTAAACATAAAAATCAGATAATATAAAATAACAAATAGTATAGGTAATAAAATGATATTTATTAATTTTTGTTTTTTATTTTTATGCAATTTTATTGTTATTAAAAATTTGGCGTCCCTTCTTTGATTTTATTTTTATTTGAGTGATCTCAATCAATTGCTTATAGTTATTAAAATTATTTTTATTTGCTTTTTATTTTCACTGTTTAATATTACTATTATTTTTTATTTACACTATTATTATTTTATTTTTAATTTATTATTTTTGAGCATCACTTTATAGTATTTTGTCCAAAAGCAGAAATGTAAAATTTGTGTAAAACAACTTTTGTCAATTTTCCTAAGTTGGATATCTATATCTATTAGGGTGAAAAGTATCTATATTTATTAGGGTGGGCTGAAACCTAAAAATAAAAAGTCTCCCCTCTAATTACTTGGCTCTTGATGCAGCATGAAGATTTACGACAAAAAAACTATGTAGTTATCAATTTTAGCCAACCCACTTGAGTTTAAATAAAAGACCTAAACAATTTTCAAGTTTTTTAGGGTAAAAATCCTTAAATTCTTTATATAATGTATAATATTTGTTCATTGCATATAAATTTTATACTAAATGATGCAGAGTTTTATTTTAAACAATTTGTATTCAATGACATTTTTTTGTAAAAGCTTGGTTTTAAAAGTTTTTTCCAAATGCATAGTTAAATAAACATCATCAAGATGTCAATCAAGCAAACAAATTTAATAAATACATTAAAGATGAATGTTTTAAACCTTTAAAAGAATTTTCTTTTGGAAAACTTCCCACTTTAAAACAAATTTTTGAAAGATGTCTTTACTTTTATTGAAAAGACAGTGTTCATAGAGATGTTTGTGTAGAACTATTCAATCGATGGGTAAATTATATTTGTTTGTCTAATACCTGTTATAATCAAAACAAAGCTTAGCAGTCACATTGAAAATTTTTATAAAATTGTGAACTATGATAAAAAGAAAAGAGGACAAAAATATCAAACAGATGCAGCAGGGTTTATAGAAGGGAAATCAATTATTTAATGTGTATCGACAAAAAAAAACTCAAGAAACTAGCAGAAATTGAAAAGAAGTTTCTATTAAAAATGACAGATGATTGCAAGTTTTATAAAGTGACTATAACAAAAGTTTACTAATAAGTTTCAAATACTTAAATCAAACATAAAACTACATCTAGTAGGAGATAATAAAAAGATAAAAAGTGAGATAAAAGAGATAAAAAGTGAGATAAAAGAGATAAAAAGTGAGATAAAAGAGATAAAAAGTGTTTTTCCACTTCAAGATCAAGATCAAGATTTTTCCATTTCAAGATTAAAAAATCGACAACCATGACAACCATGGCTACAACACTTCTGCGCTGCTTCCTGAAACACCCTCTGAGGCCAGAAGGTGTTTCAGGAAGTACTACTATTTTACAAATTACTACTTAATGCCTATCTACAATCATTTAGTTATAATTATTATAATTATAATTGCTTTAACACAACAATATCTTTCAGAAATAATTTAAGGAAGGCGAAAATTGCTAGCAGAAGCACAAAAAGAAGAAAAAATCCTGTTCAAAAAATCCCAAGTATAGGCTTCAATGGCAGGAGAGATGCTATCCTTGCAAATAGTGTGCAAATTAATAGGGAAAAACACATTTTAACACTGATGGAGAAGCATCATGTCACCATTGGTAAGCCAGGTAAGTAATATCATTAAGAAAACTAAACTAATTATATTTATAAAGTATTCTCTATTTTATTAGAAAGGTGACTTTTACCTTAATATTCAAAACACTACAGGGAACCGAGCTTCAAACAAGACTAAACTTAGTTAAGGCAAATGGAACCAATGTTAATACTGGTCATTCACGTGGTTTCATTTGGTATTTGAAAGTTTTTCTAGGAGTTCCATTACAGTGGGATATTGCATCTAAGTGAGATCTTTAAGGCATATTTTTATGGAAATTGAGGGAATACCAATAGGCCAAATAAATTTTCTGGAGCCATTGGCTCACAGCTGAATGGCATTATTTCCAAATTGGGGTGTTGCTAAGTTTAGGCCAATTCCAAATTCCAGAAGATAATTATGAGGGGCAACGGTTGAGATTGATGAAGACAATGAAGCATATGTTAGTGAAACTGATTATCCGTCAATGAATGAAGACGTAAAAGTGTTACTAAAGCCCAAGATTAAATTTAAAGATCTATTTTATAATAAAATAATCCCAATTTTCTAATAATCCACTTATGTGTGACCACTCATGGAAAAACCACTTAAATTAAAATGTGTCACAGCCAAATTGTTGAAAGACATGTAAAACTTGTAACAGAAGCTTTAGCTTCTGTGGTTGGACTCAATCGCAGAGATGGAGTTATTGGAAACAAAATTAGGTTCATAAAATTAATTTAAAATTTCACATTAAAAAGCGATTTTAAGTTGTAATCTTTAATATATTTTATTGATATGTTTTATGTATAAATAGCAGTTCAATTGTAAGAATTAAGTATCTTGATGTAATATATTGAAAGTATCTGTTATCATATTTTTGTAATTTATGCCACTATTTAAACTAAAAAACAATAAAAAAATTTAGATTTTTGGCAACAATTTCATAAGTATAGTTTTTATAAAATAATGTTATTTCCATAAACAATGTTTTAAATTCATGCATCATTTAATACCTAGTTAATGCTTGTATCTTATTTTATAATTCATTTATGATTAGTTTTGCATTTTTAACATAACTACTCTTTAAAGGTAGCTGAGTTTAGATGCTCCTACCTGAAGCTTTTAAACTCAACTATCAGCCTAAAGGCACATGGCGTTTTTTTTATGTAGAAATATTTATTACCTGCCATAACCGCACACAAGTTTAATGTATTTAGAGATTAAACATGCGGTAAAGTGGTAGAGTGGTAGCTTCATAAGCGAGATTTTTCAATTTCGATTCCCACCACATCTATGATAGTACCGCATTCAACTTATTTTTCCGCGGCCTTGTTCATCAAGGTTCGTGTTTTTGAGTTATAGAGTTGAGAGAGGGTTATAACCACAACTAAAAGTAGTCTCCTTGACTGTAGTGGCCTTTATGGTCTTGGGGAGGTGAATTAAAATTAAAAAAATATCAATTTTAAAATATCAAAGTTAAGATATAAGTATCACAGCCAAATTGTTGAAAATTTTTATTTAGAGTTCATTTTTGCTATTATTTAAAGTTCATTTTTTCAAACAAAAAAAGTTTTTTTAAATTTTTATTCAGAAAAAGTATAATGATAAGAATTATTTATATATAAAAATTTGTTTTGGTTAACGATGGTTAGTAATCTCGACCGATAATGGATCTTCAACTTTGAATAAAGGGATTTGAAGAATTAAAACTTTTATTTTGTAAAACATGGTTTAGAGTTGTTATAGTATACACTTTTTTTTTTGTAAAACATGGTTTAGAGTTGTTATAGTATACACATGTAGAGTATATATGCAAAAATATATTAAATGTATCTTACAAAATATATGCTCTACGTTATTAAAAGAATAGAGGAATGATAAATTATTAAAAAATTACTTATCAAATTTTTTTAAATTTACGCTGTTTTTCGTCAATAAAGACTCATCAGAAGTAAATTTTATAAATACATACATATATCAACTTTTAAAATTATTTATAATTAATATTTTACAAATTTTATTTATTTTTAAATAAACGATTTTTTAAAAAAGTTGTTATTTAAAAAAAATATTTTATTTATTTTCATTTTTATTTTTTTTATTTTACAAGTTTGAAAATGGTTGCAATGTGGTTTTGTGGTGATACATTTAAAACTGGCTACTTTATCATCAAAGAAGCTCCTATACAGTTCAGCATTTGTGGATCGTTACAAGTGTCAATAGATATAGCTATTCTGTATCAAGCTCATTTTTATAATCGTCCCAAACCTCTGAGTAAAGATTAGCACAAACTTATATTTCTATTAAAATCTAAAACTGCGATTGTTAAAACGATTTTATGAAAAAATTTTCGGCTGAAGATTAGCAAGCTGTAGAATTTTCCGATGTTGCTCCTGGCCACAATATTCTTTGTATAAAAATACATTCTTTATTATACTTTTGTATTATATTTAAATATCAATTTAAAATTATGTATATAGAAAATATTTTGTTATTTATTTGTGGATTTGACATAAAAATTTATATTGTTGAAAATGAATTATGAAAATACTCAAAAATGTATAAAATGATTATTAAAAACATTAAAAAAAGGTATTTGTTTTTTAATTTTAAGTAAACAAAGCGCAAAAGCAAAAGCGCAAAATATTTATTTTTTTAAATTTATACGCAAGATAATTAACTCGTAATCCTTTATCTATCACAAGACAATCAGCCAAAGAACGAAAAGAGTTAAAACATTTTGACGTTAAAATAACAATATTTTAAATATTATTAAAAGTACTATCGAATTACAAATTTTACATTTAGGTAATATTCCAACATGGCGTTCAAATTTTTTTACATATTAATGTATTGCAATGTTTGCAAATCCTAGCTTGATTAAATTAAAAAAAAAATATTTTTTTAAATTTGGTTTTAATCTTGAAATGTTAGCAAGAATTTATAATTTTTTTTCTTTTCATGCCGTATTTGGTAAAAACGTATTTTGATATAAATTTTTTTAAGTTATAAGTTTAACAAGATTTTTAAATATATAATATAATTAATAAATATATAATATAATTTCTCTAATTTTTTTTTGGAGTACTTCTGAAAAAGAAAATTGCTTACTATGCACGTTCATAAAAAAATGTTGGCGCTGCTAGTTATATGTTTAATTCAAAACCCTTTAATTTTCTCTTTATTTTTACCAATAGGTACTGAAAATAAAGTTCTTCGCCTTTTTGTCTACTTTATATGTTGTACGTTTTTATAACCTTTTTGTACTAAAGCTGTTTAAAATGTAGAAGTGGTCTAAAATTTAAATTTTTAAAACGCCGAGTATGACAATTCCGCTCTTCAACAACCAACTTTTCAAATAAAATGTTTTACTGTTTATTTATACTTATCTCTATGTGTGAAGCAAAATATGGCTTCTTCTAAAGTGCTCGATTTCAAAAACCGTGTTCATCTTTGATGAACTGCTAAGCTTGCGGAACGAAAATCGCATTAGCCCTGACTTTAAAATTGACAGTTGAAAATTGTATTTAAAATAGTATTTAAAAAACGTATTTAAAATAGTCACTATTAGTTGACAATGCTTTAACAAGTTGGTTTATGGGATAACTCTTATGTTTAGGGACATTTTGTTTTTTCAGTTAATATGTTTTTTTCCTCAAGTATACCATATACAAATATATTTTTACGGTAAAAAAGAAAATATATACACAAAATTTTAACGTATCAAATTGATAAAAACACATTGATAAAATATTGATATAAACTTTAATACAAATATTGGTGTAATAACTATTATATATATATATATTTATTTTTCAAAATTACAAGATATGTATATGTATGTAAATATGAGTATGTATGTCTAAAGAAAAAAGAAAAAAAAAGAATTTAATTCATTTCGGACATCAATTTCGTCCTGTCAACAAGTTTTTAATATAGAATATTGAAATTATCATATTTAAGATCTGAAAATTTCAACATTCTTTATTCTAAATGTAACTTGTATTTCGTTCATTCTGGTGGTAAACATAGTCTTATCATATACATCTTATGGTTGCCATATCAATCCGCAAATTCTCATTTCATTATGTCTCATTACATTGTCTTAAAACTTCTTTAGATCATTTATGAATTTCAGTAAGATACCACGTGTACTGCCGCATTGAGTTGAAATTTTTTGTTGTTATTGTTTTTTAGGTACTCCATGAGGACCTAACAGTCACTGAGCATTGCAAAAGAGCATTTTACTAGAAAGTTCACGTCTCCTTCCTAACTGATGACGCGAAATATGTAAAGAGCTAGCTTTGAACCCTCGATATCTTACTTATAAAACAAGTGCTCTAGCCATTGCGTCACGGCTCCGTAAAGTTGCAGCTGAACAAGTGTTACCATTAATCATAGTAATATCTATAACATAATATCTATAACATAATATATATCAGTTTTTTGTGCAGCAAATCCTACGCAATTATTAGTGCATGGTATGTTAATATAGCAAATAGGTGAATTTATTTGAGTAAATTTAGTAAAGGTTTTGAAAGATTCGTTATTTTGACAGAAGAGTTAACAGAAAGAGACAATAAATCAGACAATCTTTTGTGAGATGAAAGATCTGATTGAGTTTTTATAATTAAAAAGTTTTTGACATTTTGAATCTATAAATTTATTCCATCTCTTTTAAATGTCTTTGAAGTTGCAGTAGAGTCTAGATATAAGTTGTTATAAACATTTCTGTCGCTTGATTGTGTAGAAGATTCATTAAAGAGCTTGCACTAACATTTTTTTCAGAACCATTAGGTTTAATTGTTTTGAAAGAAATAGTATCGTTTAGTCAGAGTCAGGCTTAGCCTTCTTGCCGCCCTCATTCAAAAATTTTCCGGCAGCCCCTGACAAGTTTATTTACATAAAAAATTAAAAGTTTAATTGAAATGTTTAATTTAAATAGAACGTTTTTTTAGAATAACTTTTTTTTTTTAAATTTACAATTACAAACTATAACATGTGAAATAATAAAATTTCCACCTTAATTAACCTTAATTTACCGTTCTTGTGCTGCGCACAATCTCTACCCCATCCCCCTAACTTCTTCTTAAAGCCAACTATTTTTTTTTACTGCATATTGCCAAGTATTTATTTTTCAAATTGTATACACTCTGTTTACAATTGTCACTTAAAATTTGTATTAATAAATAGATGTTGATAATGTTGGTTTTATATCTAAAACTTGTTAGGTGCAACATTTTCCAAATATTCAACCAGTTTACATTTTATTCCTTTAATAGTTTAAATCCGTTTTTGTGTGTTTGTCTCTTTTTGTGTGCTTGTCTGTCTCTTTTATATAAGTGTCTTCTTTTTGTGTGTTTGTCTGTCTCTTTTGTATAAGTGTCTTCTGTTCATCTAAAATAAAATAAAACCAGATATGAGTAGTTTTATTATGCAAAAATGCAAAATGCTGAAGAATTGAGTGTTAGTAGTATACATGAACTTTTTAAATCATCTGTAGTCTTTCATAATGTTTCATATAATACCTTAATATATCTTTAGTATTGTTTCATGTTTTACTTTTTATGCACAAACATCAAAATAGAAAAATTTACATAATTTAAAAAACAGTTTTGTTAAGTAAAAAGACGTTATATTTTTATAAAAACATACCGATAATCATACATCTACATATTAAGATGTATATGTATATAAATAGATAAATTTGTATATACATATATAGATAAATATGTATATACATATATAAATAGATAAATATGTATTCTACATGTTTAAATTATGTAGCATAAGCTCTTCTTAACAATGAAAATAAAAAGAATATAAAAATATAACTACAATATTTAGAAAAATAATGAATAATTTTTAACATTACTTTGACTAAGGAATTCATATATTTTGATATCAAATATTATTTTTTAAATATAATTTATTATCATACCTTATAATTTATTTCGTATATTAAATATATCTAACTGATTTTGTTATTATGCTTGATTATGATTGATCATGATTATGTTATTTATGAAGTTATATAACTAAAACACATCTTCTTCATAACACACTTCTTCTTGTATAGCTTCTAACTAACACACTTCTTCTTCTTCAGGTTATATAACTTCTAACACACTTCCAACACATTGAAGAAAACCTCATGATTAAAATTTTTTTTTCCGTAAATTAGTTAAGGGAGAACTTGCACCCTTGATCTGTAAGCGCCTTTGAGGTTAAAGCGTTATCTCCATACTTACAAAACTTATTAAAGAGGGCTGATAACCACCGTGTTATAAATATTGTATCTTCAAAATTAATTGTATTTTGGTAAGATAATAGACCGTTATTCGTTTCTAAAAATTTTGATTCTAAAAATTCGTTTCTAAAAAAAAAAAATTTGATTCTAAAAATTCATTTCTAAAAATTTTGATTCTGACGACAAAATTTTTTTTACTGTTACAAGGAAACTTTAATACGCATCTTTAATATTTTTTTGATTTAAATAATTTTGATCATGTCATTTTGTAAACAAACTATTCACCTCTTGTAGGGTTGCTTTTGGTAAACTATAGAAGCATCTAATATGAAAAAAAAAAAGTTTGTAAAAATGGAGCGGGTTAGCACCCTTGATCCTAATGCGTTTATGCACCTTTGATTCTATGACCAATGGTGCATACACACAAACACAAAATGTGAAACCAATAAAGTAACATGTATAATATTTCATATTGTTTTTAAATAATTTTTTTCTTTTTAGCTTTTTAATGAAGATTTTATAATATTATTTTTTTATTGTTCTTATAATATATTTATATAATATAATTGTTTTGTACTCATATTCAGTGGCGGAACTACTGGACGCAGGACCCTGCGTTGCGGGGGGGCCTACCTACATATATATATATATATATATATATATATATATATATATATATATATATATATATATATATATATATATATATATATATATATATATATATATATATATATATATATATCTGTATGTGTTTGTTAATAAAGAAGATCCTTATAAATAAAGATCTTTATAAACGTTCAGCAAAAAATTAAGAATATAGTAAAATTAAAGATGTTTTATTTTTTTACAGTTAAACATGGTGCATCATAAAAAAAAAGCGAATCAGATAGACCACTTAGAGGTAAAGTTTATTTAAATGAAATGCAAGTGGCTTTTAATGCAGTTTATAATGGTGGTACAATTTATCGTACATCTTTAGAAAAGGGGATAAATTCAATGATACTTAAGAGATTTGTAAGGAAATGTCAATTAAATATAAATTAAATCTAAATACAGTCTGCAAACCTAGTTTTATTACCATGCAAATCTTTACCAACGAAGAAGAAACATCTTTATCAGACTATATTTTAAGGGCTTCAAAACTTCAACATGAATTGTCAACCAAAACAACAAAAAACTTGCCTATGGTTTTACTCTTTCTAAACGCATTCCTAAATCGCACAGTGGGCCAGAATAGTCAATTTTGAAACAAAATTAATGACTAATTTAATATTAGTTTTTTTTTATTTTGCATAGCAACAACCTGTTTCTTGTAGTTAGAGATTTTTCA